AATTAATTTTTAAACGAATGCATGTAGTGCGCTTAAATATTGAATTAAAAAAAATTGATTTGCGGATTTACTGTACTGGATTCTCATAAAATGAAAAAGAAATTCTAATTAAAGAAAAAAAATAATAAAAAGAGACTTTAATAGCCTATTAATAGCATTAATTTTTGCTAAATAATTAATTTATTATTTTTTTCTGTAATAGCTTTTAGCGAATAGTACCAATCTGCTGGGATAATCAAAAAACTATCATCAGTCAATTGTAGTCCTTTTGATACGACCTAGTATAGACCTATATTTTCAATTTTCTATAAAACATTTATTTTAGTACTATAGTTTTAATAGCCCGTAATATGACTAATTTTTCCAATTTAGCATATTATAATGTAACTAAAAAATTTGAGGTTTTTGCAAAGTTTATTTCTTCTTTTATTTTATGTGTTTGTTTTTTGCTTGGTCCCCTGTTTATCTCATTTTCGTCCCTCCTCCATTTTTTTGTTTTCTTTTTATCTCTTCATTTCTTTTGCTCTTTTTATTCTTCCCTTCCTTCGTTTTTTCCGTTGTTTTTTATTTCCTCTTCGTTCCTTTCATCTTTTCCATTACCCTTCATTCCTTTCATTTTTATTCCATTCTCACTTCATCATTTTCGTTCCTTTACACATTTTCATTTTTTTCCATTCCCACTTCTCTTTACACTACCCATTGTTCCTTTCATTTTTTATTCCCCTTTGCTCCATATCGTCCCCTTCATACTTTTCGTTTTTTTTTCATTTCCACTTGATCTTTTCGTTCCTTACGTTTCTTTCACTCCCCTTTGCTCAATTTCGTTACTCCTCACTCTCCCTTCATTTCTTTTATCTCCCTATTTTTTTCATTCATCCTCATTCTTTTTTATTAATTTTTCAGTATTTTCGAAAAACTTTAATAATAAATGAAATGAACAGATTCTAATACATATTCAAATATTTTTCCTAAGTTGGTTATAAGTTTAAGATTGACGTAATATAAAATAAGAAATAATTATAAAATTTATAATTAATTAATAAAATATTTGTAGTATTTTCATAATATTATTCTTTTGATACTCATTTTACTTGATAAATTATTAATTTAACTAAACCATTTGAATTAAATCTTTATTCAAAAATCTGGTGATTATTTAGAGAATTTCGGATATGGATTTGGTTATAATAATCTATTATTAAAAATCAACAGTTTCTTCAATTAATTAATTATAAAATATTGTAAAAATATCAATTTTTTTTTATTTTTATGAATTTGAAAATCAAACTATTTATCCAGCGTTCAATTTAATTGAAAAAATCTTAATCATCTTCCTATCAACGTCAGTCAATTTTCTTATATGTTATATTGGTTTTTTTAAAAAAATCAATATATTTAGTATAATATTTTATTTCTTTATTTAATAATAAAAAAAATTGGAAGAAAAAGAAAAAAAAATTAAAAAAAATTTGGGGAAAGAAAAAGGATAAAGAAAGAAATCAGTTTAAAAAAACATAACAATACGGTCTAAAAAAAGAAGATCGAAAAAAATAATATAAAAAAATCGGTCTTAAAAGACCGAAATAATGGGATTATTTAACTAAACCGAAAGAAGGAAAGGGAGGAAAATATTATTAATTTTTTTTATTAAAAAAAATTATAATTATTGTATCAAACTTTAGCCATATCCTTTTAAGAAAATCTTAGTCTACTTATAATATTATGGTAATGATCATATTGATTAAATCCATTTTCAATTAAAAATCTTGAGCTTCTTTGCAGAAACTTTTAAAATTGAAACCATATCGTAACTATATCATATCATAGAACTTCTCGTAAAGATTTAATACCATATCGTAACCAAATCTTGATTATAAGTTTATGCGGATCGTATAAAGTTGATGAAATCGTCACCTGATTTAACCGGCTTGTGCAAAAATAGTATTGAATCAAAAACATATAGTAAATGTATATTTAAATTATATTAAATGCATGTTTAAGTTATAGTAAACAAATATTAAAGATGCAGTAAAGTTATAGTTTATTTATTTTAAAGTTGATGTATTATAAACTTTATTTTAGAAATATTAAATTGTTCTATCCTGAATCTAATCATATGAATTATTCTAATCTATAAATAAAACAATAAACATAGATATAAATTTTCCTATAATATTAAATGTCCTCTTAACTCTATTAATAACATTTTTTTCAAAATTTTCAAAACTTACCAGAATTCTGGTATTCCTTTATTGGGAGCCATTCCTCTAAAAAAAAAAAAATAATAAAAACAAATAAATAAAGGTTAATTACGCATTAAAATGTTGGGCGTTATTACTTGGCGACCCTATCATGTGATTTAATAAAATTTTTGATTGGCTAATTTTATGAAAAATTTTATTATTTTTTTTTCTTTTTTTTTAAAAAAAAACTTAAAACTTAGACAAAACGACTTTTTTTTAACAATTAATTATATGAAAAAAAAAACATTTAAATTTTTTATATGACTAAGGCCATACAAGTTTAATTTTATGGTTTTCACAATATAAAAATTTCATCAATAACCCGGCAACCCGGCTTTTAATTTTTTTTTTTCAAAAATTTTATATGTGAAATTTTTTTTCAATTAAAAAATTCTCACCTGG